AACAGACAGACAGACAGACAGACAGACAGACAGACAGACAGACAGACAGACAGACAGACAGACAGACAGACAGACAGACAGACAGATAGACAGAAAAGCAAGCATATTATATGAGCATAGGTTCTTAGATGTACTCTCTCAAATGTTGCTTACAAATTAATTGCTACTTGAACATAATATTATCTAGTAGATCATGGTCTAAAGAACCTAAAGTTTCAAATTAAATAGTTTGACATTTTTCATCTCGCTATCGTTCTCTTATTGCTTTGTTTACTTTCAAGCTTTCCATTTTTAGTAACGTGATCGTTTACTAGAAAGTTTAATCATATTATACAATGTACATGTAGGCTTATATGTAATGTGTGTGAAATACATCTTTCAAACAGTTTAAGGCAACACAAAAACACGAAGTCGCATTCTATAGTGTTTGTGTTGTAGTTTGATTCTTTTAAAGTTAAAGAAAAAGCAAATCGAATTGCTAATTAATTTAGTATCTGTGTAAAGATGATTCAAGAGTCGTTGAAAGATCAGGATTCATGTAATCGAAGAGTGAACAAGAGTCGATACCGACAGACCAAAGGCACATGGCTATTCTCTTCTTCGCACTATATTTCATTGAGGTTTTTCAGACCGACAGACAGACAGGTAATACATATACACAAACAGGCAGTGGAGCGTTGGTTGACAGACAGACAGATAGATAGACAGACAGACAGACGACAGACGACAGAAAATACACACGCATACATGAACAAACATAGGGGCAATGGTTGACAGACAGACAGACAGACAGACAGACAGACAGACAGACAGACAGACAGACAGACAGACAGACGACAGACGACAGAAAATACACACGCATACATGAACAAACATAGGGGCAATGGTTGACAGACAGACAAACAGACAGACAGACAGACAGACAGACAGACAGACAGACAGACAGACAGACAGACAGACAGACAGACAGACAGACAGACAAGCAAGCATAATATGATATGAGCATAGGTTCATAGATGTGTTCTATCAAATGTTGCACACAAATTAAAAGTATATGTATTATCAAGTTGATCTTTTTTAAAAATTCCAACTGAATTTTTAATTTAATAGTTTGACATTTTTTCGTCTCGCTACGGTTCTCTTATCGCTTTGTTTACTTTCAAGCTTTCCATTCTTAGTAACGTGATCGTTTACTAGAAAGTTTAATTAAGGGGGAGAGAGAGAGAGAGAGAGAGAGAGAGAGAGAGAGAGAGAGAGAGAGAGAGAAAGA